GTTGACCGACTATCGCCTGGCAGCTATAGGCCTATAATCCCCACTAGCGTGCCGTGCCAGGTGATGGAACGCATTCTGAAGCGAGCCATCCTAGATCACCTTACTTCCAGCAATCTGATATTTCCAGCTCAACACGGATTTCTCCCAAACCGTTCTTGCGTGACAAACATGCTCGTGTTTATGGACAGCTTAACTCAAGCCAAGGACGAAGGACTCATATCGGATGCCATATTTTTTGACTTCTCAAAAGTATTTGATAGGGTCCCACACGTCCCGCTGCTCCACAAACTCGAGTCTTACGGAATTCAAGGGAAAATCCTTCGCTGGATCAAGGCGTTCCTATCAGACAAATCATTCCGAGTGAGAATAGGCTTGAAATACTCTTCTCCAGCGCCGTTCTCCATTGGAGTTCCTCAAGGCTCCGTCTTGGGACCACTCCTGTTTCTGATCTACGTGAACGACCTCACGGACGTTCTTGCGAGTCCATGTTTACTTTTTGCGGATGACTTGAAATCCTGGAGTTCCAATGCCAGTGCCCTCCAAATGGATGTAGACGCTGCCAAGCAGTGGTCGTTGGACTGGCACTTTCCTCTGAATGATGAAAAGTGCGTCCATGTGTCGTTTGGAGGGGATTCAGCGTATGCCTTTGTTATGCATGGTGAAAAGGGACCAGAAAACATCATGAGGATAGATGCCAAAAATGATTTAGGCATCTGGGTCTCCTCAAACTTGTCCTTCGCACTACGCCATGAGAAATCGGCCTAAAAGGCATTCGCCGTTTTACGGATGATCCGACGTACCTTCTCCCGTATTACTCGCATGGACTTCCAAATACTCTATGGGGCCTACGTCAGACCGCTCCTGGAGTACGCCAACCAAGTTGTCTACTCAGGACGTACGAAAGACGTTACCCTCATTGAGCGTGTCCAGCGGGCCACCACTAGTATGGTTGCCGGCCTCAAATCCGTGGACTACAAAACGCGTCTCGCGATGCTTGATCTCTTTCCCCTGGAGTACCGTCGCCTCCGAGGGGACCTAATTCTTACTTACGCCCTGTTTGAACAACGCTTGGCAAGGAGGTTTCTTACCGTTCACCCAGCAAACACCCGGCGGGGGCATAGTAAGAAAATTTTCAAGCTCAGGGCACACACATTCATTGGGCAAAAATTTTTTTCATTTCGGGAAGTAGCTGCGTGGAATGATCTTCCCCCGACGGTTGTCCACGCTCCTTGTCGAACCCAATTTAAAGCACTATCGGGCATTCAGTCATGCGAATCCTCGCGCTGGCGAGCATACTTCCCCGCGCTGAGAACATAAACAGCAGTGCTACACCCTTTTTTCACTTGTGCTTTTCAGGTGAACGACAGCCACTGACCGACAAGAACAAAACCGACCCGGGAAACTTGGGCAAAAGCCTCGATCCTGTGTATCAATCCTTGAATCCGTGAATCCGTGAATCTTCTATAGATAAATCTAATCTTCATCACGACAAGTAATAATTGGTTTGCGCAGCATATCCCCAGAGATATTTGTAGCTGAATAAGGCTTAATGCAAATTTGAGTCTTTTTTCACATGACTCATGGTTAGCCAAACTAGCAGATTACAAAGTATTTTGTTGCAACACTGCCGAAATTTGCTTTAAACTCTCCAGCCGGCGAAATTTCGGATACTGGAAATTGGAGTATCAAGGAGTTTTCTAGTGCCCAGTACATAACACAGCTAGGTGGTCCCATCAAATAGCGTCCACCAGGATAGCATTCAGTCTAAGGCGCGAATCATATGCGTCACTTGCGTTCTTGTTCGCAGTCAACAATGCGATAGAATGCTCTATTAGAGACGGAAAGATGGTGAGTGGAAGAATTTTCTTTACGGGCCATAAAGTGATTTGGTGGAAAAGGTTAAAAGATAGAGTCCGATTCAGTGGGTATGGGCACACGCATTTCGAGGGGTACAACTTGATAATTTCGGTCTTGTAACGCTCCATTCAGTTTTGAAATCACAAACAAAAGCAGCAGAGAAATGGAGAGAAACTTGTCGGGGTCTGAAAATGAGAAAAAAACGCAGTACAACTTCAACCGTTCTTCGGGTTCACAGAAGCCTCAACATCCTATGGGGCTCCGGCTTCTTGATTATGTTTGGGATTTCCGTAACAACAAATAGGTAGTACTCTTCGCTACATAAATCAGAATCAAACACATCTAGCTTTTAGGACGTAAAAATCAGATGTGTCTAGCGTGCGCATGTGAAGTGGTGGTAACACGCTCACCTCACATGTTAGATATGCTAATTCACACTTCGGCACGGCCAAGAGTGTGGTTGCCGATTAAAAATTGAAGGGCAAACCTTGCGTCTGGAGCTTACAGTCTCCTTGAGTCGCGAGACGCCCAATAGTTGAGGCTTATAGATCAACCAAGTCGAGTAATCTGGCGAACAAAATGCTAGTTAAGAAAAACGCTGGCTACCAGAACATTCGATTGGATGAGTCGGAAATGAAAACATACATGTCACCGTCAGTTTTAGAGATAACTGACGAATTTATGCGAACCTAAATATAGATGTCGGTTGGCAACAGGCTCAGAGTGGTGAACCTGCTTCATGGATCTGGAGGGTGGGACCGTTAATCTATTATTTTACTCTTAGTGCCTTAGAGAAATGAAAAGTAACTGAAGGGACCAAACTAGCGAGACCCAAACTAATCCACAAGTACTCCCAGAATCCTGTCGACAATGATGTACATTGTCAGTTATGGGTGACTGCATTATCGTTTATGAGCCAATTGGCATTCCCTCCGAGCTTCGCCGCTCTGTGTTGGTCAAGTTTCATCATGAACATTAGATTGTGCACGTATGCCAACTGGCCCACTGTAAATGAATACAAATAGCAGGCACGTCGAGGCTGTTTGCAATGAACGGACGCAGTGAACTTAACCTGTCGGTACCCTTACGTGCACCCATACAAAAGCGAGGAAGAAGGAGTCAGGGTGAAATACCGGGCAAATTCTAGGTTGCTTACCACTCAGCATTCAAAACAGCCCCCCAGCGGGTGTGCTCTGACAGGTACTATGAAGCGCGGAGGATGGAGGCATGCACGCGAAACCTGTCTACGTGCCCACAATTAACATTGTCCTAAAAGCTACATGGCAGCGCAAGTTTACCCAGTGTCACAGAAAGTAGTATGCGGAAAAAGTCCGCAAACGGATCGGCCATGGGATTTAAAACGTCCAAAATGAACCATTCTTACGAAAACTCCCTTCGAAAGCTTGATGGCCTGGATCTAGGAGGGGAGTAACAGCCATCACCTCTCAACTAGTTGGTCAAATCAATCGACAACCAAAATCCAACAGCGACAACCAGTACCCCATTTGTTAGGCCCACAACAAGCCCTTTGTCGCCCACGATAAGCTGGGCAGCTGAAAAACAGGTGGATCAGTTTCAAAGTGACTCTTGACAACAGTCTTACGTTGAAATTATCTTAGAGAGAGGGCTCAGGAGGTTTAGATTCAGGGGAGACACCAACTCAGGCGAATTCGCTCCTTGAATTGCTCCTTAAGTCCACGAATGCCACAACACAAAAATCAAACGGACCTTGAGCGAAAGCCTCGACCCTTCGTATGAATTTGTGAATCTGTGGCTCTCCGGACCACGAAACCCAATTGCTGTTAAGTCACCCAAAGGACCAATCAGGTATGGACGATGGTGACCGGCCAATTGCGGGAAGAATTCATGCAATGTCAGCCAATGACCCAACGGTGGCCGAACGACCTTCCTTCAAGGTCAAACATTCGCCCTGCGTACCTGGATTCCCCTTCTGATCCCGCTGGTTTTCCCGTAACAAGGGTGTTTTTCCTGTTCGGTGAGTCTTTTACCGTCACTAAGGCCCTTGAGCTGGGCTGAGGCTATTACCACAACCCCGGAAACAATTTGTCGTTAGTTCGTCACACACAAATTGGACCTGCACGATAAATACCTCGTTTTCGACTGTATAGTTATACATAGTCGCTGAATGGCATCACTGATGTGTCAAGAACACTCCCATCACATCCATGTAGAGACCGTGTAATTCGTCGGGGATTATATTTAAAAAAGCGTTAACCCTTACGCAAAGACGGAGAGCGACTGGAACAAACACTTAAAAACGCTGTTGCAGTGCATATAAACCAAATAAAGGTTCTATTTATTATTGAGGTTCTACGGAGCCTTTCATGAACCCCTCATAGGTCACAAAAATGAAAAAACAAAAAGTTGTGTTAATAGTGATAGTCCTTGAGCTGGAGTTTACAGTTAGTCACAACGACGATTAGTGCACTTTGTTTTCTAAAAAAAAATCCCTGCAAATGAAAACAGCTTTCGAAGCCATCAAGACATGGAGCGGACAGGTATGTCACAGAGGCCACTTCGGATTCTTGCTCTCAGCTATTAAATCTGCGAACCTCTGCTCCTCGCATTCGGAAGTAGCATAGGCAATATTAAAATGCTTGTCCACAAACTGCCACAGTCTTCAACAAACTTTGCGATATTAAACAGTCATTTTGCCCAGAACAGCCGTCCATAATCGTATCCACGGAGACCTGGGTCACACCGGATGTCTCTGAGGCGGAGATCTTGATAGACTGCCACTGTTTTTGGAGCTGACTCAAAACGAAGGAAGACTGGTGCGTTCGCTTTAAACTCATGCGGCTTTGTTAATCCCGGTTGTCCTCTCCGATACCACTCTTGCACCTTTTTGGATTCAACTCTTGCTGCACGGGTCCGATTCTGTCGTTCTTGGTGTGGTGTACTGTTGCCCCTTGAGTCCTCCGGAATATGGCCAATGCCTCATACAAACGCAGGCTAACTACCATCCCTCCAGGATTTGGTTATTACCCACGAAAGACACTTCGTGAATCAGGTGACAAATAATGCTTCACTGGTACATTGTGACCACTGTGTGATGACCTTTGCTTTCGTCTGCTAGGGGGCCAGAAATCCCGAACCTCAAACGTGGATTCGAAACTTCTGTCATGCGGACTTCTCAGGAATGCGCATCTTTCTTGAACAAGTTAAACTAGGACCAGCTTTAGTGGAGGACTTACATAACACCATTGCCAAGAAAGTTCACGGGGCTGACGTGTTCGTCCCGAAAACGATCACGTAGTCGGATGGGCTGCAGATTACCTAAAAGAATTCGACGTCTGAAAAGGAGGTCAACTATTTTTCCAAAAGGAGACTACAGGATACGTCATCATCATCATCATCATCATCATCATCGGCAGCATGACATCAGTGTTCAACACCGATGGCTTCACTGCGTACAACCATGACTTATTTGAAAGCAGGATACAGGCATTTCGTAAAAAGCGGAACCGTTGTAAATCAGAAATCCGCCAATGGAACATACGAAAACAGGCCACCATCCTCGACCTCGCTCGAAAAAACAAAAACGTATTGTTCAAATACATGAGACAACGCCCCAGAAACAAGCCATCCGCGTGCTCTCTTTGAGGGACAGAAACGGAGAACCG